GTCGCCCCTGGCAGATCCCGCCCTGGCAGGAAGGCCAGCCCGTCGCCCTGGCAGGCAGATCCCGCCCCTCGGAGAAGGCCCCGCCCCCGCCCGCCCCTGGCAGGCAGATCCCGCCCCTGGCAGGAAGGCCCGCCCCGTCGCCCTGGCAGGCAGAGCTGCCCGGCCCCTGGAAGTCAGGCCCGCCCCCGCCCCGCCAGCCCGCCCGCTGTCAGGCAGGCCCCGCCCTCACCGTTGGTACTCGGCCCACTTGTAGGCCGCGCACGATCTCCTTGCTTTCCGCACTGTGACCCTCCTCAGGCGTCGAATGGCACCAGGCAGACCCGGTCCCCATCCTCTCCCCTCCCCTGGGCCCCCCGCCGTCCGAAGGCCCCATCCTCTCCCCTCCCCTGGGCCCCCCGCCGTCCGAAGGCCCCATCCCCATCCTCTCCCCTCCCATCGGCCCCCCACCGTCCCAAGGCCCCTCTCCTCCCCGCTCCGAGGTCCCTCTCTCCTCCTCCGCAGCCCGAAACCCTCCTTCCCACCCCGCTCCCCCAACACAAGAAGGCAGCAGCTACATTCAAGTTCTATTTTACTTGGTTCGGAAGCGCTCGCCCACTGGGAATATTCCTGTCCAGGGGCTTTCCAGGCCGGCCGTTAGGCGTGGGGCCGAATGCGGAGGCCCCGGAGCGGGGGGCGCGGCGGCCAGACCCGGAGGGCCGCGTAGGCGGGTGGGACAAGCGGGACGCGGGGCGGGTGCGGACGCACGGCCCTGGAGAGGTGCGCAGGCGTGTCGGGGGCGAGAGCAGGGGGCGGAGGAGGGGTCACAATTTCTCTGACTGGGCACCCCGTCTCGGCTCTGGAGGAGGGCTGGGGACCCGGGGAGGGCCTTTCGCAGCGCCTGGCCTCCCCGGTCACTCGCCCCTCCAGGGAGCCCCGAGCACCGACCAGGGCGCACCTCCAGGGCCCAGGGCGCGCGGCCAGAGCGGGCGCGCGGGAAGTTGGGTGCAAAGAATCTGAGTCTCGTGACAGATCCCGACCCTCACAGGTGGGCTTTGGCGCTGACCCACTAGCTCGCCCCGCACCTGCTGCCAGCACGCTTTCCCCGCTGGCTCCCAGCCGGGGGCTGTTCCTTGGCCCTTCCTACTCCAGCGGGTAGGAGCCGCTTCGGCTAAGGTCTCCACCGTCCCCCCAGCTGGCCCGCCTTCCGCACAGGTTTCCCGCCTCCCTGTGACGTTAGGGCCTGCGGGGCTGTTCGCATCCCCTCTCTGCCCCGGCAGCCGCGTGGGGCCGCCATGTGGAGCGTGGGCGGGCACCCCAGTTGTCGCGCAGCCAGGCCTAGCCAGCACCGCCACTCATAGGCTCTGCTTCCTCTGCCCAGGTCTCCCGCCCCTCTGGCTGGGTGGCTGGCGCCTTGGCCTGAAGACCTCTGAGTTTCCTCCAGCTGCTTTCTCCAGCCGCCCCTGCAGGGCCCGAACCAGGGCGGCCAGAGGAGGGGACGGCAGGGTGGGCAGCACTGTCAGTGTGCGGATTGGACCGCACACCCTGCCCACCGCCTCTCTGGGACGCACCGCGGCTTTCTCGCTCGGGACAACAAGCACGGAGGCTGACCAGGGTGCCCCCCAGAGAGGAAAGGTCTCTGAGCGGCTGGCACCCCAGACCACAGGAGGCGGGGCCGGGCGCGTTTAAAGTGACGAGACGAGGCTTTGGTTAACTCCGGCTCCTGGACGCAGCGGAGCCGGGGTGAGGAGGCTCCAGCGAGAGCTCCGCGAGACCCGATCTGTGCGGGTGGGGTCTGTGCAGTAGCGACCCCTCCGCGCGAAGGCAGAGCTGGGCGGTCCTCAGGCCCACCCCGCCTCCCAGCGGGGAGCACCGAGGGCAAGGACCGGCCGCGGGGGTCCTCAAGGGGGAACTGGAGGAGGGAGGGGTCCGGGGGCAGAGGGGCTGTTGGGGGTGGGGAAGGACGGAGGACGGGCCTGTAGGGAACACCCTGGGGTGCGGGAGAGGGACCGAGTGCCTGGAGGGGACCTGGACGGAGCTAGAGTTGGGGACCGGGCGGAGCTTGGGAGGGACGGCTGGAGGAATTTGAGGCGGGGCTTAGGAGGGACGGGGGCGGGGCCCTGAGCGGGCAGGGCAGGGCCGGGGCTGAGCCTGGTCGGACCCGTGGCTCACATGATGTCGTCCAGCAGGTTGGCGCTGGCCACCCAGTCGAGCGCGCGCGGCTCGGAGGCAGCCATGATCATGCACATGAAGGGGCGGCCGGTGCGCCGGTCAGTGGGGTAGATGGTGGTGGGCGTGAAGCGCCGGTTGGCCTCGACGAACTCGCAGAGCTGCTCGTAGACGCGCGGGAACTCGTGGCGCAGGAAGACGCCGCGCAGCCGCAGCTCGCGCTGGATGTGGATGAAAGCCACCTCGCGAGCGCGCCGGCCCGCCTCGCCTTCCTGGTCCAGGCCGGCCGTGCCAGGCGGCGGAGTCAGGATCAGCGTCTCCATGTCGGGCTCGCGGCCCCGCGCCGGGGGCGGACGCGCCGGGCTGCCGGCCGCCAGTGCCACCTTGGCGAACTTGCGCACCGTGGGCCCGGAGCTGCGTGGCGCGGGCGCAGGCCGCGCGGGGGTCCCTGGGGGCGCGGCGCCGGGACCCACGGCCACCGACACGCTGAGCAGGAAGCATTCGGCCGGCTCATAGAGGCGCCCAGCGGCCGCCAGCTCGCGCGCGTAGCTGCCCAGGGGCGCCGCGTGTGTGGCCAGCTCACG